CAAAGGCTGAGGGGTCCCCAGCTGGATCAGGCCCTCTGAATAGGTGAGACAGTTGATTGGCTTGATCAGTTTGGGAGGCAACTAGGCAGTGGGACTGAGTCCTGTGCTCTTTGCATGAGTTGGCTGTTTGAAACCTGGGGCTTATGCAGGGACACTTGGCTCAATCTGGTAGGAAGGGACTGGATCTGCCTGGACTGAGTCTACCAGGTTGATCGCAGTCCTTGGGGGAGGATTTGCCCTGGAGGAGGTGGGAATGGGTGGTGGGCTGGGGTTAAGGGGAGGGGATGGGAGGGGGGAGAATAGGGGAACCCATGGCTGATATGTAGAACTGAATGGTATTGTAAAATAAAATAAATAAAATTTTTAAAAAAAGAAAAAAATAGTGTTTTGATCACAGAACAGAAAAATAGCAAATAAGGTTTTCTTCCTACCACACATCTCATTTGTGGGTCTTCTTAGACTTTTTTTTCTACATTGGCTTCCCATAGTCTGACCATGCACCATTTTGTTAAGATTTATAGTTCCCAATATAGTTCCCAATATAGTTCCCAATCCTGTGTTTTTATTTGTCTCAAAAATAATTTCATAGACAACTATTTTTATACTTTGTCCTTATTTTAACTTTTATTGGAATATTTTAATTATATATAGTAAAGTTTTTCATAAATGACATTTCCACACTTGTATGCAGGTGTTTTCTTAAGAGTAATAGCCCAATAAACTATCTTGTCATGTTTCCATACTTGCTTATCTTTTTCCTCTTCTCAACTAGCTGTCCTTTCTACTTTCATGTCCCTTTCCTTCATGTGTGTGTTTGTGACACATTGAATTCCATTGTGTTTATGAGAGGTACTAATGAAGGAGTCATTTACAGGAACATGGGTACCTTAGCTTAGCTACTTTACTGGAAAACTACCTCTTCTTTCACCAACACCCATTAACTACCTATAGATTCTGAAGTGAGGGTGTCTCATGAGTCTTGCCCTTTAACTAATCTTAACTGCTTATAAATCCCAAGGAAAAGGGGTGGTGGTTTGGGAATCACATTCTCTCTCCTTAATAGAATATTGAAAAGCACTGTCTTGCCTAGGTCTTGAGCAGTAGTCACAGATAACATGGGTTAAAAAGTGCTATATCCATGTCATGTCTAGAAGACAGTATTCCACATCATTCTATCCCATCTTTAAGATTTTACATCATTTCAATGCCCTCTTCTTCCATGTTTCTTTAGCCTATATGGGAGTACAGATATCTCATTTAGAGTGAGCACAGAAAAGGCACTTATTCTCAGCCATTTGTCCATTTTTGAATCTCCAAAATTACCACTTCCAACTACAGAAAAAATCTCTTTTTACAAATCTGATATTAAATCTATATAAGTATAAGTGTAGCTATTTAGGAGATAATTTGATGTTCACATCATATTCATTTAGCAGAACAACAGTGATCTTCGACACTAAGACCTATTCCCTTTCCAGCATGGACAGTCATTATTGTTGATCATATGAGATGTGAAATCTCAATCAGAAAATGATTGGTTACTCTGATACCACAATTGCCATTATCACACCAGTGGGCATACATTACTCAGGTAAGCCTGAGTGAAGTATAGTTCACAGTGTCCATAGCTGAGTAATACTATTGATGACAATCTGCTACTAGCAGCTTACATAACACCTTCTGGTAATATGAGGTCTACTCAGCAGAAAGGCATATTTCAGCTCATTCCCTGCTTGCTTTCTTTATAATCTGTGGCAAGAATATGAGGATGTCTTCAGAAATAGGATCGTACCAACTAGTTTTTGTGGGCAACTCATAACAATGACAATTTTCTATGTTATTTGGATCTTTATGCCCTTTCTAGGCAAAAAAACTCCTAGGCCTAGTACTAGCAGTGGAATTTTCATTTAATAACCTATGACTTCTGGGAGCAGTAGTTTACTTATGCAAGGTGTCTTAATTTAAACTATTTTATGTTTTTTTTAAATGAGCTTATAAAGTAATGAGTTTTCTTAATGCATTTTCATATATTCTTGGTTTTGGTTAATTCTATCCACTCATCTTTCCAAACCATCTTTGTGAAAGCACACTCCACCTCATATTCACTCCCTTTATATTGATACCATATAAATTCTTATTGAAAAATTCTTATTGATAAATTGATACCATAAAAAAATTTTATTATTCCCCTTTTGCTGGCTCCTTTCTATGTTCCTGTCCTTTATATACTCTTCAAGCTAAACACACTAAGAATCTGTCTAGGATCCACATAAAAGAGAAAATATGCAATGTTTGTCTATTTGTGCCAGTGTTACCTCATTAAGTATATTTTCCAGTTCCATCTATTTTACTGAGAATTTAATAATTTCATCTTTAGAGCTGAATGAAATTCTCATTGTTTGTACATATCAAAATCTCATTATCTATTTTTAATTGAGGGGCTTCTAAGCTGAACCTGTTTCAAGCTCTTCACTGGTATATAGAAAAGATATTTATGTTTGTATGATAATTTTTTTACGCTGTCACTTCGATAAAAGTCTTTATCAAATCTAAGTGTTTTCTGGTAAACTCTTTAAGTTTTCTTATTAATAGAATTGTATCATTGAAAACAAAGGTACTTTGACTTCTTTCTTATTTGTATCCCCTTTATTACTTCCATTTGTATTTTTATTCTAGCTTAGATTTTGGTGCTATAATGAAATAGAGTGGAGAAATTGAACATCTTTGACTTCTTGGTATTTTTTTACTGGAAATGCATTGAATTTTATTCTACCTATGGAACATAAACTTAAGTTTTTTTTTACATATGGCCAGTATTATGTTGAAATTTGTTCCTTCTATTCCAAACTTTTTCTATGTCTACAAAGATTACAATGTCTTTTCTGTTCTGGAGTTCATTTATGCTATTTAATTGTTATTTATTGATATTTGTGTATCAAATCAGACTTTCACTGAGTCTCTGTAATAAAGTCAACTTGATCATGGAGAATGGTTGTTATTGGATAGCATGTGTCTGTACTTGTGCATGTGCATCTATATATATTGTGTGGGTACATGTATACCAAAGTGTACAGCTAGAAAATAGAGAAAAACTTACAAGAATGTGTTATTTCTTTCCACCATATGGATTTAAGTCATCAAGTTTGGCAACAAACACCTTTACCTATTCAGCAATTTTACTATCCTTTGAACAGACCTGAATTTGTTTTTAAAGTATTTAGTGGAGAAGTTTTGCATCTACCTTAATCATGGTTCATGGTTGCTACATTTTTTGTTGACTACTTGTTTGTTTTTGTATCAAAGTGTTACTTCAAAAAATGCACTGGTAATGAGTCTTCTTTTCCTTCTTTTATGTAACAGTTCAAGAATCTTTGGTGTTTTTTGAAGTTCTAGAAAAAAATCATCTGGCCTGAACAATTTTTTTTGATTGGAGGTTTCTTTAAGTACTTTTACAAACACATTCCCTGCTATAAGCCTGAGTATATTTTTTAAAACATAATTTCTATTGATCATTTGGGAATTTCCTATCATGCACACCACTCCCACTCATTTCATTGTCATTTCATATCTAACCTCCACTCTTGTATTCTGCCCCCCCTCAAGAGAAAATAAATAATGAAAATAAAAGTTAAGAACAAAAACAAAAACATATGTCTTGCCAAGACCTGGGTCAATAGCCTGCTTCTCTATCAATCAGTAAACTTTTCTAATACTAGTCACAGCTGTCTTATCACCAGTTCCACCATACTTGTACCACTTAACTCCTCTGTATTTCCCATCTGTCCATCACATATTTGTTCATTGTAATTGCACTGGGGTCTCTGGTGTATCTTGCAGAAAACACTTTTTCCCAAACAGCTTTACTTTCAAATGTTCATTGCAATAAATTGTTGGTCTGGTTCAGGACATCTTGCTTCTGCTATACCATCAATACTGGACCCTCATCCAGAAACCTCTTGGATTTCTTACTGTTGCTCAGAGTCATGGAAATCCTGTGTCTATGGTTCCACAAGACCAGTCTTTATCATCTTCTTTAGCAGCTCATTGATGGGGCAGATATTGGAGTGAACCAACTCAAGGCCCCATATTAGATTTCTAGATATGAAAAATAATGTCATCTCTTTTTAAATCCTCACAATGCATATCCACTCATCAACATTTTTTTATATCAGGAAGCTGTGGTCATATATGGGCATTAATTAATCACTATCTTTGAAGTAATCATCAGGATTTAAGGAAATATCATCATCATTTGATCCTTTGATTACCAATAAAATCCATTCTAACAAAAATGATGCATCAGATAATAACCAGGCTATTTTGTTGTTGTTTCTTGACCTCATTGAGTTCCTCACTCAACTATCTGCCTTTCTAAATTTTACATGGTTTCCCTGGGTTTTTCAGCTCATAGCTATTGACAAAGACATCTTAACATAAATTTAAGTCATATTTAAAGCTTTATTTTAGCTATGATGCACACTGAAATCCAATCTCAACATTACAATTAAAAGGAACTGAGATATCTTAAATTCTGGGATGCAATTGTATTTCTTTTTTTAAGATTTATTTATTTATTTATTATGTATACAGCATGTATGACCAGTAGAGGGCACCAGACCTTATTACAGGTGGTTGTGAGCCACCATGTGGTTGCTGGGAATTGAACTCAGGACCTCTAGAAGAGCAGTCAGTACTCTTAACCTCTAAGCCATTTCTCCAGCCCGCAATTGTATTTCTTAATCATTAACCTAAGCAACACTCTATATGGCTCCTCAACAGAAACTAGCTGTGTGACATTTCCTTGTTCTAATTTCTATCTTCTGCTGTCCATGCTTTATCATAGGTGGGTCAACAGGACATCTTCCTTTTACATTTATTAATATTTGACTAACTCAACTCTGTCACAATCACTTACTCTACTCATTAAAGACCCTGAGTCATCAAAATCATATTTAAACTAACACTATTATAATATAATATCATTGTTTTAGTTAAACAGTATAGCTTAGGAGGCAATTACCTTCATAACAATCAACAGGTAAAAATGCCCAGTAGAACAGGATATTTCCATGAGATAGCCACACTACATTAAGGGCAGTGGAGATTTCCCCACACCCATTCATACCATGCAAGATACCAGAGGAAAATATCAATGGTAAACATGTAACAGCACAGCAGCAATGGCAAGAGACATTCTGGGGCCAAAGCCACCAAGGCCTTGCCTATCTATGACTCACCCATCAGAGCTTTGCTTTCTGGAAAACTAACCACTTGAACTTCAATTCCCAGTTACATATCCTATGACATGGCCACAGGCAAAATATCACATTGAATTCTGTAAATACTGGATCTTCTTAGTAAAGCTGTCTATAATTTTCAGAGATGTGAAGAATATCAGGCAGACCTCACTTTCATTATTTGTAATTAGCACTTCCCTACTCCATTCACACAGTGATATATGGATCATGGTTTGAGCACACCCGTGCCTGGCTGTCCATGAGAAAAAGAGACAACTTCTTGCTACTGAGCTATGAAGACATGAAAAAGGTAACTGTCATTCCTACAAGAACAACATTTCCTATCACAAACTCACCCCATGGAGGACCACACATTCCTCAGTTTCCCCTTTTCAGTGTTAAGCTCATGAAGTGTCATTAAAAGTGAGATTATGCCCTTTGTCCTTTATTGACCTGCATCTGTTGTTTTTTCTCCAGCACTCTTGTCCATCATTCACATCTTCTCTACCCTACTCCAATCTGAGGTAGGGTGGGATATCTCACACCTGCACTTCAGGTTTTTTAATTCTGTCTATGAAACACATTCATTCTAGCTTATAAGCCTGTGGTCAGTGGGGAATGGGTAAAGCAGTGTCATTCTACTGTTGTGCCCAAATGTATGTCATCCCTTCTTGATGGCAAGAAGAGGGACAAAGGCAGGAAATCCACCTGTGAAACCTGGGAGATCACAAGTGCTGGAGTCACATGAACAGCACTGAGTCATACCCAAATCTGATGAGGCAAGTACAGGGTTGAGCCAGTCAGGATGGATTGTGCCCTGTACTCTGTAGTACAGAGGGTTGTGCATGGTGGCTATAATATGATGGAGATTTAGAAAGTCTTAGTAGAGAATATCTAAAATGTTTAAACATTAAAGAATAACAAATGTCTAAAAAGAATGATAGGTCATTCCCTTATCTGATCTCTGAAAGTTTTGTTTCATTGAAATGCCCTAATGAAGGTTATAAATATGTTTATGAAATATGTATGTGTCTCAAATATCTCTTCTTTTAAAAATTAATATCTTTCCAGGGTGTCACATGACTCTAAACATAAAACTTTGATATAGAGATATTTTCAGGGATTCTAAGTCATTCTTGGCTGTATGGTGGGTTTGAGGCCAACCTTAGCTACAAGAGAC